GTTTTGTTTCTTTTCCCCTTCACCTCTCAGTTGCCAAAGGGTACCTCTCCCTTCCTTTTTGCCCCTTTCTCTTCCAGAAGGCACTTTGATGAAGCCACCTCAGGTCACGTGTGCCTCAAAGCTCCTTTCCAGCAGTCGGTGACTGGATCATGTTTTAATATCTATAGACTTAGGGGCTGTACTTTTTCTGGTGGTGGTTATAAACCAATTTTAGGTGTTCTGCTAGCTCCCTCTTCTCTCTCTCTCTCTCTCTCTCTCTCTCAGTTTTTGTCAGACTGTTCTTGTTTACTGTGGAGGCTTGTGGCAGGAGCATGAGTGATTGCTCACTGGGATTCAATGTTTTTTTTTTTTACTACAGCTATTTTCAAGCCTAGACATTCTGTGGTGCTAGTTATGTGGAGGACATGATTTGTTTGTAGTTTTATTTGTTTTTTTTATCATTCTTTATTGTTTGCAGAGGATATTTGGGGAGATGCAGATCTAGGCAGCCACTAACCACCTATCTGGAAGCTGCTGGGCAAGTTTTTAACTCTCTAAACTTAGTTTCCTTATATGTAAAATGGGAATAATAATTATACCCAATTAATAGAGATTTCATGAAGGTTAAATGAGATAATATTTATGAATTGTTTAGGACACTATCGGTCACATAAGTGCTCAACAATTTGTAGTTGCCATTATCATTATGTTATGGATGCGATATTGGCTTGAATAGTGGACACTGTGGATACTGCTTTAAAAATAAAACTCTCTTAAGTTGACCCTCCTTTAGTACTGTGCACCTCATCCTCTGCCCTTTTATGGACTGTGCTCCTGTAAGCCATGCTTTAGCTTCTGGGTCATCTCCCCTGTGTTTTTTTCTTTTTTTTTTCCTGACTTCCTCTTGTCATGCAAAGTAGGCTAAATAAAACCCATCTTAAAAAAAAATCTTTCACTGATCCGTTTCCTCTTCTAGCTCCTCACTCTATTTCTCTGTTCCCTGCCATAGGAGAACTCTTCTAAAAAGTTGCCTATACCAGTTGTCTTCATTTTTGTTTCACATCTCCCATTGTCTCCTTAAGCCACGCACAAACCTTTTAGCCCCCACTACTCAACTGAAATGGTTCTTACCAAGGTTACTCTTGACCCGTCTTTTCAAATCCAAGCATTAACTTCTGTGTGTTGACCCCACAGTATATTTTTGCTATTATTTTAAATGATTATGAAATCCTTCAGACATAAAAAAAGTACTAAAATAATATAATGTACATGTGTATTTGCCATCTAGTTTAAAGAGAGAAAATGATCAAATCATTTGACCCCACCCCCAACCCCACCCATTCCCAATTGTATCCCTTTCTATGCTCCCAGATGTAGTCACTACACTGAATTGGTATTTCTTGTTCCCATACTTGTTTTGTACTTTTGCTACATATGTTTCCCTATCTGATATGTAGTGGAATTTTTCATGTAATTTTTCATGTTTTTAACCTCCATATGAAAAAGATTATTCTTAAATATCTTCTTCTGCAACTTATTCTTTTTATTCAACATTTTGTTACAAGAATCATTCATGTTGCCATGCTAGAGTTTTATTTTCACTGTGTATATAGTATTCCATTGTTAGCTCCGACTAGACTACAATTTATCCATTATGTTGTAGATGGACACTTAAGTTGTTTCCACTTTTCAGTTGTTACAAACAGTCCTTCCAGAAACATTCTTACAAAAATTTTCTTATATGTGTTTGGTAATACCTAAAGGAAGAGCTCCTGGGTTATAATGTATTTAACTAGACTCTTCTTTTGAATCACCTTGTTCTAGGCTTCCATGATACTACGCTTGTTTGATTTTCATCCTACTTCATAGGCTGAGCAGTTTCCTCTCATCCCTGATCCTCATTCCCTACTACACTCTATATTTTAGTGTCCTGGGGGTTTGTCTTTGGCTCTCTTCTCTATATTCCCAGCTTCTTGCTTCGATTTTCTCTAATTTATTATCCCCCATGCTGATACCAGGATAATCTTTATCAAATGCAATCCAGTCATGTCACTGCTTTGCTTAAAGTTCTTCAGAGGTCCCTGCTGCGTCTAAGTCCAAGTTCTGTATCATGGACAAAACCATTAAGGATTAGCCCCCCACGTATTACAATTCCTACCTCTTCTCTAAAGGATCCTAAAGACCATCTCTCTAGCAGGCTGGGCCTTTGCTTAGACCATTTCCTCTGTTTACAATTTTCTTCTCCCTCACTCCTAATTGCCTGTTAAACTTTTGCTCATTTTAAAAGATGACTTATTTACATGTCCTGTTTTTTTAGGGAAGTCATACGTGACACCTTCAGGCGGAAGTAAGAAATTCCTTCTTTGTGTTCTCCTAGCAGTTTGTTATTTCCATTATACTTCTTGATTCATTTATCCAGCAAATATTTACTTATTTGCCTGCTATATGCTAGAAATTGTTTTAGACATTGGGGCTAGAACAAGACAGGGTTCTTATTTTCCAAGGAGTCTAGATTCCAGAGGGTAGAAAAGAGAAAAAACAAGTAAACAGACAATATTATTTTAGACAGATAATGTGGTGATGCAATGGAGAGTGTATGTGCGTAGTAGGTGGGGATGAGCATGACATTTCAGATTGAGTGAGATGCTGTTTTGAGTTGAGACCCAAAAGATGAGAAGGAGCCAGCCATGCAGTGACCTGAAAGAAGAACATTCTAGGCAGAAGGAACAGCAAGTGCAGAGGCCCTGGAGTAGAATGAATTTGGTATGTTTAAGGAACAGAAAGAAGGCCAACAAGGCAGGAGCATAATGAGCTGGGGAAAGGGGGTGCTGTATGAAATAAAATCTGATAAAATCTGAGGCCCCAGATCACGTAGGGCCTCATAGGTAAGATTTATTGCTTTTAAGTGTAGTGGGAAACCGTTGGGAGATTTTATGTGAGAGAGTGACATGATCTGATTTGTGTCTAGAATTACCACTCTGGCGGATATGAGGAGGATTATAGGAGGAAAGAGTGAGAGCAGAAACCAGGGAGGAGGAGTTGTTGCACGTGGAAGATGTTGGTAGCTTGGATTACTGTGGTATTTGTAGTGTCCATGGGAAGAAGTGGAATGACTTAGGATATATTTTGAAGGTAGGCCACTAGGACTGGCTGATGGACTAGATATGTTGGCTTTAAGAAGGGATGGAATCAAGAAAAGGACCTCTTTTCCTGAGTAACTGGGTGTCATTTACTGACATGTGGCTGACTAGTGGTGGTGGCAGTGATGAGAAAGTTCTGTGCAGGAGGAATCAGAAGTTGCTTTTTAGATATTTTAAGTTGGATATGCCTCTTAAGATTTCAAAGTGTGAATGACAGGAAGTCACTTGGTTAGGTGGCTCTGAAGGTCAGGGATTGACCTAGTTTCTTGGTTGACCTATATCAAATGACCAGAGACTGGGGTGACTTAAACAATGAACATTTATGTCTCACAGTTCTGGAGGCTGGAAGTCTGAGATCAGGGTGCAGTATGGTTGGGTTTTGGTGAGGACCCTCTTCCAGATTGCAGACCACTGACTTCTTGTATTCTCACATGGCAGGTAGAGAGTGAGGGGTACTTCTGGCCTCTTCATAAGGGCCACTAATTAGGCTCCACTCTGAAGACCCAATTACCTTCTAAAAGCCTCTCCTCCTAATATCATCGCATTGGGATTAGATTTCAATATATGATATTTGGCAGGATACAAACATTGAGTTCATAACAGGGATGGAGATAGGTAATTTTGGGAATCAGGAAGTTATTCATTATATATTAAAGCTGTGAGACTGGGTAAAATAACAGAGTTTGAGTGTAGATGGAGAGAGAAGAGAGCTGAGGCTTTGGACACCACAGCATTTAGAGAATGAGAGGTAGGAATATAAGAGGGAGTCATAGAAGACAGTAGAAGGAGAGAGGATCAGTTGCGTCATGCTGCTTAGAGTTAGAATATGATGCAGGCACAGGTATGACCACTGGGTTTGACTTCCTGCACGCCACTGTGACCATGGTGAGAGTACCTTTGGGGCATTCCAGTGGTCAGAAGGTAGAACTTGGCTTATCACTTTAATCGACTGCATATGTACCTGTCACCTCTAGAATGTGAGCTAGTCCTATTTCTTTTTAGGGCTTAGCATATAGTAGATGGTGAATAATAAATGCTTGCAAGTTCGATTTTTACAGTGTAGTTTAAAGAATAACATACTTTTTTACCCTCATTTAGGATGCTTTTAGTTCACTGATCCTTCCCACCAATTTGTATCAGTTTAAGGAGTATAGTCATGTGAGTACTAACGTAAAGGAAACACAGAGAGAGAAGCAAACCCATTTTAATAGAGGTTCTCAGTGCATCCTGCAGCCATTGTGCTGTGGTGAACAGGGTCGTGCTCTGGACTTGGAAGGCCTGCCTCAGGCGCTGGCTCCACTGGTTGGCCCTGCTGAAGGTGTTGGTGTCAGATCCCCCACGCTCTCTGGATCACAGTTCTTCAGCTGTCATATGTAGGTAATATTAACAAATCCTCCTACAGAATTTTCATGAGCAGAAAATGAGCTAATACACAAAGTATAAAGACACTCTGTAAGAGATATTTTTGTAAAGATAATTGGATTATCCATTTTGTTGCAGACTTATAAAGTAGATTAGATCAGAGTGTCATGAAGTTCATATTTAGGCAGTGGCGTGTGAAAGGCAACAAGTTTGGGGAGGACCCAGATCACTGCAAAATGTAATAGTTTTTTAGAAATATATAGGAAATTAATTTCTTTTGGCTTTATCAGCTTATCTTTCCCAGATAAATTTAATCATCCTGTTAGAACTGAAGAATAGACTCTTTTACTTTAAGGTCAAGTAATCACATCTAGCTAGTGGTCTGTTTACCCCTGTGTTATATATCTGAAAGAATAAAATGTAGTTAGTGTTGCTTGTTTTCTCTCTCTCTCTCTTTTTAGTGAATATATGAACTCGACAAATTTTCCCATGGTGATTACCCTTTCATTTTACTTCTAGGGTAAAAATCATGGTAAGAAACTCAGAAATTACTATGCAGCCAACAGCTGTCCTCCTCCTGCCAGAATGAGCCACGTGGTAGAACCTGTGGCCACTCCAGCTGTTCCAGTCCCTCCACAGGTGAGACATGTGTCAGGGTGGAAGCTGTCCTATGCACAAATGGTCATGGATGAAATTTGCCATCCATGTGCCCATCAAGGTACAGTTGGGCAAATACTCCTGAAAGGTCCCACTTGGTGCTTTTAACTCCTTGAACTCTAGGGTTGGATTTAATGCATGCCAAAACCCACGAACCTTGAGATTCTCATTGGCTTTGGTTGTAATGCATGAAGTGATGAAACAAATATTGTTTCGTGAGTCTCTATGCATTTCTCAAAATTCTGGCTTAAATGACCCTCCGTGTCTAGGCTAAGCTAGAATAAAACCCAACTAACCCTGAATAGAACAAGAGATTTTTAGACATTTATATCTTTATTCTAGTTAATTCCATTTACTTCATAGTTTGCTTCCCATTAAGATCAGTTTCTTGAGATGCCCCTCCCCCATCTTTTTTAACTGCTGCTCAGAGAACCTGTGTAAACTCTTTGGTTGAAAGCAGTTCTGTTCACTCTTTGTAAGTCAGAGCAGGTGTTTCAAGCAGGATATTCCTGTACTTTAATAGCCCCTGACAATGGATTCTACTCCTCAGTCTGTCTTGAAGTATTATTTGTCTTAGAACAATACAGTGGCCATAGGAATACCTCTGAGTGCTTACTGTGCCAGGTACTCTGCTAAAGGCTTTTCATGCATTGTTTCATTCAGGAGTGGGACTAGAATGGGGAGAGGGATGCACTTCACTTGGGCACAAAATTTAGGGGGGGAGACAAAAAACAGTGGTCAAGATAACTTTTAAAAATTCAAAATTTAATGTAAAAAAATTCATTGGTGAACAAAAGGTCAAAAACTTAAGGACAGGGTAAGTATTACTGATTTTCTTTTTGCCTCAGGCATGGCACAGTTACTGATCCTTTCTTTATTAAAATTTTGATATATTGTTCCTCATTGATTTTTTTGCATGAGTTTTGATTTGTAAAAATATTCCATTAAAATATTATTTACCTTGATTACTGGGTTTTTTGGATTCTCACTTAAATTTTATGCCCGTGGCAAGTGCCTGCCTTGCCCCATTCTAGTCCTGGGGCCTGACTATATGTAAAGCTTGCAGTAACTTAGAGATGTTGGCCTTATTACTCAAAGTAATCCATGGGCCAGGAACATCAGTCTCCTCTGGAAGTTTATTAGAAGCTCAGGTAAGCTAGGTGACTTGTCCATGGCTTTACACGTGGTGGGGCAAGAATTTTTTTGATCTTAGATTTCTACTCATAACCACCATGGCATAATTTTACTCTTTTGAATGCCAGTTTTCCAGTACATAAAGTAGGAATAGAAATACCAGCTATTCCTCCATCATCAAGAATTTGTGGGGATAAATACGATATGTTAAACACAGAGGACAGGAGAATTCCCAGGATGATCTTTAGGTAGTGTAGCTGCCACAGTATTAATTCCTGAAGGCAGCCCTAGAACTGGATGGCTGCTCCCTGTTGGGGACTGTTTTCAGCTAGCTCCACCCTTTTTGGGCAACCAGCCTTAGCCTTCTTTCATAATCTAGCCCTTTGTGGTGTTTGAAGAGAGCTCTCCTGTCTCTAGAAAATCTTCCCTTCCTGGTGAAAGAGTGCTGCTTCTCTGAGCTGATCCTGATATGCTTTCCAGACTCTTGTATATTTTATTTCTCTAGACAGAATCTAGTTTGTCATTTTTTGTTAACCCAATAACATTTATTGAGTGCATACTGTCTTTCAGGCACTATGTTAGGTTTCCTGTAACTCAGTTTCCCAGCCTGAATACAGTTGGCTGGATCTGCTGGTTATTTTTCCCTAATTGTGTTATATCTATAGCTAATTTGTAGACTCTGAGCAGGGGCTCATTTAAAAAAAAAAAAGTGTATAGCTTCTGCATGAGGTAGCAAGCCCTACACACAGTAGGTGCTCAGTCAGTGCTTGTTGATGGATTCTGGGCTGACTTTACTTTTTCTGATAATGTGATATTACGCCTTACCTATACTACTGTAAATCTTCCATTCTGGGTTTTTAAGTTTTTGTTTTTTTTAAATTGCTTCATTGGAGATAGCAATGAGCCATTTCATTCATTATTTTGGTACATTGGTGATTGTCCTGCAAAACCATGAATAAGTGCCTCCTAGCCTTAGATGGAACTTTGAGAAGAAGGGAATAAGCTCCAGATTTTTTTTAACCTTGTTTCTTATGTCTGTGATGTCAGATGGGCTCCTTTAAGCCGGGAGGCAGAGTGATCCTGGCCACAGAGAATGATTACTGTAAGCTCTGCGATGCCTCCTTTAGTTCTCCGGCTGTGGCTCAGGCTCACTATCAAGGGAAGAATCATGCCAAGAGATTGCGGCTGGCGGAAGCTCAGAGCAACTCGTTCTCGTAGGTATTGCCGTTTTCTCTGAGGCCAGAGTGTTGTGTGAGACTGACTGTCTGTAGAGAGAAAGAGTTGAAATGGATCCCTGTTTATCAGTCTTACCCTTTTAAAATTTCTTTTCTCCAGAGAATGCTCAGAGGCTGGTCAACGGCGTACCCGGAAAGAAGGGAATGAATATAAGATGATGCCTAATAGGAGAAATATGTATACAGTACAGAATAACTCAGGTATCCGGTGGATTTCCACATACCTTAGCTACTTTCTGCAGATGGTCTCCTTTATTTTTATTTCTTCTAATCGTAATAGATAGCCCTGAGAATTTGGGGTAAGCTGTTTTGTTTGAATTGGTCTAGTGACTTTTCAAGCAGGTGTTTATTTCAGGTCTCGTTTATTTGTTTTCTATTTAATACATTATTTATTTTGATTTTAAATTGTCGTTTATGTTTTAAGATCTTTTATTATAGTTCCTTTATATTTCTTCTGGTATTTGCCAGCTGAGAAATGTAAAATGCATTATAAAAATGGGCTATTTGGTTTAAAGATGCACCATGTTAAATCGATATTTATTGGGGAAAGTAAAAAAAAATTATAGCAGTGTTTAACCAGGGTAGGGAATTAGAATTACCTGAGGAATTTTTATAAAATACACATGCCTGAACCAGGACTTAGAGATTTTCAGTCAGTAAATTTGGAGTAGGACCCAGACATACATATGTCTTGAAATTGCTTCCTTTATGATTCTGATATACACCTTCAGTTCAGAACAACTGGTTTGTAGGTATGTTTTCTGCATTTTCTGATTATTTTCAGGAGGGAAAGTAGGACTGAGTATTCCCTCATGCTCCCCCTGCCCCAGCCTCCAGTGTATACACATACCAGCACAGGTCATTTGTGTGAACACTAAAACAAATGAAAACCAAAAAAAATTAATTGGAAGGTAAGAGAAGCATAGAAAATAGGGACACATTGAAACAACAATGCATTATAATTAATAAAAGCATAAACATATCAGTAATTACAATAAATGTAAATTTACCAAATTCTCAGTTAAAAAACAGAGGTTATAAGATTAGATTTAAAAAATTAGCTGTAATGAAGGTAGCTGAGATAGCTGTATTACTATTAGATGAAATAAACGTTAGGCCACAAGGCAGTATAGACTCTGTTCTCTGACCAGAGAATAATGAAGTGAGATGTCAATAGCAAAAATATTAAAAAAAACCACAAAATTTTTAGTTGTTTGGAAATTTATAAACATTTCTAAGTAATTCATGGGTCAAAGAAGAAATTATGTGGTATATTAAAAATTCTTAGAACCAAATAGTAATTAAAACACATTAAATTTGTAGGGTGCAGTAAAAGTATTATTTTGAGAAGTCTTAAATGTTTATTATAGTAGAAAGGCATAAAATTGATAAGCTAATGTTCCAACTGAAGAAGTCACTTATGTTAAAAGAAGAAAATAAAATTATCAATACCACTAACATCTTTACATGTTGCTCCACTTTTTCTACATACTACTTTTTAGAAATGTGGTTATATTTTGTGATGTTCTTGTTTCACTTAATAGCATATTATAATCACATTTTCCTGTAATGAACATGTTTTCATTATTTTTAGTGACTGCATGGTTTTCATTATTCAAATTGTATTTTTGGAACTCCCCTTTCCCGACATCACCTCCCCCCAAAAAAAGCTTTTTATAAATGCCCTTGTTGATAATTCTTTATACAAAAATACTTAATATTTTCTTAGGATAATTCTTAGAAATAGAATTTTTGGATTAACGAGTTAGCATAATTATAAAAGTTCATATAATGCCGGGAAATTAAGTCATTTTTAAAACTGTATTTACGTTTTAGAGACATTGTCATTTAGAGTTTGGGCTTGGCTCTACAGTAACCTTTTTGACAATAGTTGGAAGAATCGTATTAGCTTTTGATCGAACCTATATAAAATTGTAATTTAAAAAATCCACTAACTTCACATTCATTTAAAAACTAGGAATCTGTGAAAAAAACACAAAACAAGGAATCTGTGAATTTTATAATTTTATCTTAGAAATACAAATTACAGTGATGATTGATCAGACTGTTGTCATTTACTTAGTGAATACTTTGAAGTGAACACATTACTTTTATCTCTTGCTTTAGCAGGTCCGTACTTCAATCGCCGCTCCCGGCAGAGAATTCCACGGGATCTGGCCATGTGCGTCACTCCAAGTGGCCAGTTCTACTGCTCGATGTGTAATGTTGGGGCTGGTGAAGAGGTGGAATTCCGGCATCATTTAGAGAGCAAGCTGCATAAAAGCAAGGTGTCTGAACAGCGGTACAGGAATGAGATGGAGAACCTGGGCTACGTATAGTGATTGTTGTGTTCAGATAGAGCAGCTTGTCCTGCCTGTTATTTGCCTTCTGTCAACATGCCCTGCTTCGTGGTCCTTTTGATATGAGTACATTCCTCTGCTTAATGTTAATACATGTAACCTGCAGTGGTACCCTGCGGTGTCAAAACCGGGGAAGGACAAGAACGGGCTTCTTAGGTCATGATGCTTTTTCAGGTCAGTTGTGTTGAGTTACTTAGAGCATGTGACCTACCTACCCCATGAAAAATAATTCTTTATCTTGACCAAGTTCTGGTCAGTTAATAGCCTGATCACTTAAGAGCTTTAACTATTTAAAAATCTCATCTTCTTTTGCAATTTTGGTTTTTTGTACTGTTAAGTAAAGGATTTTATTGGGTTCTTCAGATCAAAGTAAAAACAGGTAGGCAGAGATTTCGGTTTCCCAAGGCAGCGTTGGAACTACCACCTCAGCTCAGTGTCTTGTCGGTAGGATATCCTGTTATAACCTGATTAGGGTCTTTCATAGGACATGTTCCCCTTTGTCGTGTCTTCCCGTGATTGAGATGAAGGTTTTCTTGGTTCCAGACACTCCCAGTGTGCGTATGGACTTCCAAACAGTGAAACTTCATTTCCAGTTGTGGGTTTCACTCATTTAAGTGCTACTTTCTTCCCTCTTTTATTCTCCCAGTTGAATTAGCTTGTCTCATAAGTTCATTTTCATGCCTCAGCTACGTTGTGGGATTTCCAAGTCCCACATTCGAATATCCAGTGAATTCAAGATAGATACGGTATTTTTTTTAAACAAATATTTTTCAGCTGGTTTTAGAAAATGTAAAGATGTGTTTGATTTTTCAGTTTAGAGTTACGTCATTGATAATGACGTCATACTTATATGATGGTCTCAGTCCTGAGTTCAGATCTCTGGGTATTTGGTTTGGCGGACTTTGTAGATAAACTGATCCTTATATTTTACTTACATTCACCTCTGTCTTGCTAGTTGGCTGTTCTGAGAAATACCATTACCTTACTGTTTTATAGCTAAAGAGGAGTTTTAAAAAAATTAATCAAATTACAGTATCATTTCTAGCAGAAAAAGACATGAACTTTGATTTCATCCTAATTCAGCTTCCTTGAAGATAATAGAAATACATTATAGATTACTTGGTATCTGATAGTTAAACAGTATTATTAGTTTTTTGTTTTTTTTAAAATAAAGCTCTAGTGTATGTGTAGATGGAGTACTCTATGAACTTTCATTAACTGTATTTTATCTGCTTACTCTAGTTACATGGATAAGACCGGTGCTCATCCATAGTTCTTTTGCAAGGCCACATAGAAGTTTATATTCAGCAGTATCTTTGCACTATGGTCAATTCACACTTGATTGCTTACATTACCAATTAAAAAATACCAAACTCCTTTTTTTCCTTGAGAATTCTAAATGCAAAGAGATGGGGAGAAGGAAATTATAATAATTATGCCTTTTCTTTAATACTTCTAAACAATTTTTGAACAATCTAGATCCAAATTTGAAATTCAGTTTTGTAATTAACCGCTGGTACAGTATCCAGTCACTCTTATGTTGAAGTGATAGTTTTTGAAAAGTTAAATTACTTAATTTTTTTCTTTTCTTTCAGAAACAAAAGAATAATGTTCCATTGAGACTCTATCTAGACCTGTGACCCTTTGTGTAGTAACCTATAAAATACAGTTGATTAGGGCAATTTAGAGCTTATTTTATTGGTCAGAGTGTTACTCATTTTGCTGCTAAGTATAATTTTTTGGTAGATTTTAATAATACAGTGCTGGCCACTTGGTTCTATAATTATTTAAAAATGCAACTTTTCCTTTTCTCTGTATGTACATTTATGTACATATACACACACATGAATGTTTTTGTGACACCATAGAGAAGGTTTCATTGAATTCTTATTTCAAATAACAGTAAAAGATTTTGGATAAAAATTTGCATTTTGTGAAAGTGACATTCATCCACTTTCAGTTTTTCCTTTGCACATAAAATTAAAGGAAGGGTTTCCCTCACTCTCCCTGCTAAACAATTTCATTATATATATAAAAAGCAGTGGATTTGAGGCCTTGATGTTTTTCCTGGCCTTTCGTATTCAGGTTTCCAGTCTCCCAGTGCCCTTAATGGATGTTAGGAATGCATAAACGCATTTTCTTTCAAAGAAAAAAGATTTATAGTGTTATTTCTTACTTGCTGTTTCCTTTGCACTAAAAAAGAGCTATGTGTTTGTTTTATATGACACTTTAGATACCATATTGCCTACAGTAACTCTGTTTGCTCCTTAATTTCTAAACTCTAGGAAGTTGATAAATAACTTCCATGATCATTTATAGAGGTTACATATACATCTCCCCTAAAATTAGCCCCTACAAATCTCTGTGACAGTGGGTTGGATTCTGGGCTTGTTACCTTGCAATATTCTGTGTTTCACAGGTGAGACAAAGGGTGACAGAGGCTGTCAGAAAGGAAATGCCTGAATAAATCCATCTCTGCATGATGCAGTTTCTCATAGTCACGCATTCCTTATAGACAGTGTTTTTTCCCTGTCAGAGAAGATGGTGTTACTACTGCAGTCAGTGACATGATGTCTGTTGATTTCATTTGTGAAGTCCAGTCCTGCTGTGTAATGTGCTTTAGAATTTGCACCCCGTGCTCCCTAGGAATCATGTTAGTGTCTTTTATATGCTGTATACAAGGATGGACTGAGGCCTAAACAACAGAAAACCTGTAATCAGTTAAATTAAGTAGATTTCAGTCATCATCTGCAAGAAGCACTCATGGCATCACAGTCTCTTTTCTCTGTGAGTATCTTTGTGTAAGTTGTCATTCAGAATCAATGTGAGAAGATGACAGAAACTCTACTAAGATACTGAGGGCAAGAAGTTGTAAAGGAAAAATTCCATGTCCTAATTAAAAGATTGGATTGCATATGTCTTCAAAGTGTTTTTTTCAAAAAATGAAGCTACAGAACAGAGTGTGCCATGTAATATTTCTGACTCCATGTTGAACAGAAAATACTTTGTTGGTCTAGTCTTTGTATATCATGTACTGCAACTTGTAAATATGTGCATGTTGTTTATTAGGTTTGTCTGCCTGTCTCTTATTGCACTGAATTCTGAAAGTGGATACTTTTTGTGTACCATCCATTTGGAAAAAGTTCCTCCTCCAACTCCTCACTGTTTCCCCTTCTAATGAGTTGGTACACTTAGAAAACCATTTAGGTTTTTGAAGCCCTGAGATTGAAGAATTGTGGCTGAGATCATCCTTATGTCCCTCTGACTTGAACAGCTACAAGGAAGCATGAGATTTCCCACCTTATTTTGCAAAACAGTTCTGTGGCACTGGTACACTTGCTATAGCTACGTAGCTACACTTTGAACAAAGATACAATGTTTATATATATATGTATATATATATAAATCATCTTCTGTAGATAGATTTTAAGGATTAGCTGTGGGATTTATGATTTCCTCACTCCAGAATTGGCTGGAACAATGAGCAACGACAGTTTGAGGACCATTCAGTGACCTATGTAAAATGAGTTTGCTTATATCAGGAGAGACCTGTAATCATCCTGCATAGTATACTCTACAGAGCGGCCTAGGAATGGTGGATTTGGAACCTAATCTGATTTGCTTCCTCATGGCAGAACTTGGGCTGGAAGTACTCTGTAAAGAACTTGGTGAGGTATATGAGGACGATAGAGCTGCTTTAGAAATAGAGAAATGTTTTGTCAGTATAGGCAAAAGTTTAATGCAGGTTGTTGAGATCTTTAAAAATATTCTACCCTACCAACTTTTTCCTTTTTTTTCCAGCCAAATCACTATTCAGGAGTTTCATACATAATAGTGTTTTGTTGTTGCTTTTATTATTATTTTTTTTGGTGGTGGATCTCTACTATTGTGAGTTATCAATCTAACTGAATAGATAAGTAGCTGTGTAAATAGCTTCTCATACATTTGTTCTGTTAGCTCTTTGGACTTTTGCTTCGCATTATGAATGGGAGGATCATTTATAAACTCCCTTTCTGGGTAGCTACCAAAAAAATACTGGCTTATGGTCCCATGTGACCCTGTCTTTGTTAAGCCCAGAATCTGAGTGCCTTTAGCAAGTTTTAGCATTTTACAGAGAGAAGAAATGGTAGAATTACTGCCATTAATCACAGTTCATTAAACACAGAAGCTTGGAATAGCAAAGATCTGTGTGAATTCTGTGTTTTACACCCCCCCCCGCCCCCTTAATGCAATCTCAATTTGATATTGAGTAAAACTGTTACTAGTATTGATCAGGAACCCTACACCTTGAAAATGAATTCAGGTGTCCTAGGCCGGAAACAGTCATAGATTCTTTTTCACTTTTATTTGTTATATTTATATTTAGTGAATGGTGGTATGGTGGATTGGGAAGAGCTTGACACCAATGTTTGGAAAAACTTCATCACAGCGTTATTTTTCAAACTTGTGTCTTCTGTAGAAAGGAGAGAATTATGTATTGCAAATGAAGTGTGGGAAGAAATTGTCATGCCCAATAGATATTAATTGTGTTACTTTGTTTCTGTATTTAAAAAAGCATCTTTACAAATCAGGTCTGCTAAATTTTCTCTACTTCAAATAATTTTAAAAATTCCAAATTTCTGAGTACTTTGAGTCTTTAAAACACACTGCTGAATTAATTTTATTGTAGAAATTTAACATTTTATTATGAAAATTTTCAAACACTTATTGGGGTTGAAAAATTTTTTACAGTAATCCCCACCTTTAGATTCTACAATCAGTGTTTTTCTATACTTGTATTACCACATATCTGTCCATCTGTCTATTCACCCATCATTCCATACTTTATTTTAAATATACATTTCAGTGTAGATTTCAGACAACACATTTCATTTAAACACTTCAGCATAGGTGTCATTAACTAGAGTTTAATAGTTGTTTAAATATCAGTATCTTTTAAAAAGCAGCTGTCAATCATAAGTTTAGATCAGACGTTTCTTGAACTCATGAAGTTGATAACCTGAGCCAGTTACCATACATGTTTTCTCCTGTGGGCGTCAGCCTTCCAGTTTTGTTTTCATATATGCTTAGAGGGAGGGAAGACAACTTTCAAACTGAAGTTTTCTCGTGTTGGTCATTTTAAATGCTTAGTTGCCATCTCTCTTAAAATTTCATGATAAGAATTTCTCTGTTATCCTGGTTATGATGTATGTTGCTGAACTATGCAGCTTCTTTAAAAAATTGTGAGTTGCTGATTGGGGTTTATTAAATCAGCTTATACCTCATTTCAACCTGCTGCTGCTTTTCTCATATTACCACGTTTCCTTCACTGCTTTCACCTGTTCCACCAGAAAATATAGAGTCAGACCCATAGATGATTAGCTGTTTTCAATAACTCTGGAAGAGCAGATTAAGTAGTTTAGAAAGTTAAAACCATTTACCAAAAGCCTTTGAGTTCCCTGAGAATGTAGTTGCCCATGCTTCCTCTAGCCATAATTAGCAGGACTGAAAATGATTGTACTGTACAATGAGTTGTTGAAATTGTGAGCCTTAGTGACTATCTCTAGCTTTACTCTAGTACTCTCTGGAAAACTTTTTTTTTTTTTTTTACATATGCCTTTATTATGCCAATTTTTTGTCGGCAAAGAATTTAGGTGACTTGCTCCAGGGCATGAAGATGCAGTGGACCTGTCAGAATTGGAACTTCAATGTTCTTGATTGATGTTCTCGTGCTAAACTTTGTAAGACTCATGGCTTCTAAAAGAACACTTCCTTTGGGGCCCTTAAGATGAAAATATGTATTTTTACTAATTAGACTTTTCATTTTTAGGCATTTTGTGACTCTTTAAACTTAAAGATCTTTTCATGGTCATAGTTCCTCGTTAAGCCAGTGAAATTGCTAAAAACATAACTTTACTGTTGAATACTAACTAATGCAGGTTTTATCAGATTTATTTCTGCATTTCAGTGATTCTCACGATTCATTCATAACTCTTTCTATGTAAGTGCTTAAGTGACCCCCTCACTAGTGAAAATAAATGTTCTATATCACTGATTATATGTATATTCTCTACATGATCTATTTTTTTAAGGAAAAGTAACCCCATGTGTCAGAAGGAATGATATTATCCTAGGGCAAAGAACATATAAAGTTTATTTCTACTCTGCAAATCTGGCATTTACAGGAACAAAACTCTTTTAGGGTGGCTGGTCATTGTTTACCTTCTTTTGGTACTTGGGCTCTTTCTGTGGTTTTGTAAGTGCGTGTGTCATTTTATGAGAATTTCATGTTGATTCTGTGTAAATTGGTGTTTACCTTGTGGTATCCTCAGCTGCCCACAATAATTTAATTTGGGTATGGTGTGTCTGCTTTGAAATGCCTTACTAGCGTATGTCAGACTGCTCTAAAGCATTCCATGTATCTGCTAGGACAATACGTTGTCTCTCTTGGATGTGTGCTTGAGATCCAGAAGCAAAAATGACTTCGTTTTCACTGTTAAAGTTGCATTTTAGTGCAGCTGTTGTTTTAAATTGGAGAATAAAATCATGGAAAACCAAGGGAGACATTAGAGCCCATTATTTAATGGCATGGCAAGCTTTTAAACCAGTTTTTGCTATTTCACTAGAACAATGTCTCTGGTAAAGGACATGGCTAAAAAAAAAATGCCAGCCAAAACTGTGAAATTGGGGTTGTTTCCTAAAATTATTTCTAAATGTCCTACAGGGGTTTAGCATCTGTGCGTGCTGTTGGGGCTACGTGCCAGTTGCCGCGTTGGAACTCTTTTTCTGTTCTGGGGCTACAGAAATGACAAAAGTGTCATGGGATTAAAACCAATCAACTGTGAATTGTGAAATTGAAATTGCTCTTTTGGTTTTATTTTCTGCATATTGAATATAGAAATCAAAATGTTATTTAAAATTTACACTGCTGATGTTGATGGCTTGTTCTGGCTGTGTATCCTCACCATGTACTGATTTCTGATAAAGGCTTGACGTTATAACAGGTATTTTGTGTTCAATTGAATAAAACAGTTTCTGAGTCTTGTCTGCAGATTGTTTGTTTATGACTTGGAGATCAAGGAAAAGGTTCGCTGTCAGCATGGAGGTGTTATTTTTGATGCTGATGCACGATGGCTGTCAGTTCACCATTCACCAGTCTGCACATAATCTGCCACGGACTTGAACTCATGCAGAGTCTGGTCAGCTCTTGGGCTTGCAGTAGAAATGACCTAGCCGCCCACACTGCCCTCCCCACTCCCCATGTCATTGGAGTTAGCCTGAGATGGGAGTGAGTTCTTAATTTTATTGATATACTGTATTTTAAAATTTATCTTCCCTCCAAATTTGGAAAAAAGTTGAGCTTAGCAGGACCATAACTGCTGCTCCTAGATAAGAAACACATAGTAACAGGCATACACCCATTAATTGTTTGGGTATTTCACATATAAAATATTCATAATTAGCTTAGAAATACAATATATTATTAGGCTATGGTCATCAAGCACTCTGATTTACTGTATGCAATGTGCTTTTGAACTTAAACGCTCATTTTAAAGAGTAGATTATAGGCCTGGAAGGTGCCGTTATGGTTTGTTTAATCGGGATGCAAGACACATACGCGTACTGTCGTGGGAAAAATTCTTGTCTGCACAAAAAAAAGTTTCTGAATGAACTGAATAGATCACATTGACTCTGTGTTTTAAAATACTCAAGGCATCAGCACATTTTATTAAATCATCTCCAAGAGATTTTTAGCTTAAAAGGAAGCCCATCATAATGGGCATTAAAGAAAAAAAAAAGTCTTAAACCAGTAGAGCTTTTCAGCTCCTTTTTTCAGGCATTTCTGAGGCTTATCCGTTCACTGAAAATCTATTCAACATCAAGCACGGGGTATTAGCCTTTAAAATTGCCTGTCTGTCAAAGACTAGCAATGAACTTTCCCAGTCTATTATAAATTGATATCAGATTGTAGAGAGATCAGAAATAGATCTTTTTGTGATGAGTTTTAAGACTTTTATCATCTGAGTTGAGACTTAGCCCACCAAGTTTTCTGCCTTGTGGGATACTCATAAATTGTTGAAAATTGGGAATTTACAAAAAGATGAAGACAGGCAACTATTGTGAATTGTAAATATTATTGATTAGGGACGTGATTATGCATCCTTACCAAAAAAAGAGAAATCACCTGAAAATACATTTGATTGTGTATATATATGTGTGTGGTGTGGTGAGAGAGGATGAGAGATTGAGGTGTGTGTATTAGGAGGAAGTACATGTAAACAGGTTTAAGATGTCAAACACGTGTAATGAAGCATGTCCAAAGGAGCAGAGCAAATTTGCCATTGGGAGCAATATGTGCCCACAGGCAGTCTATAGAACTGCTTTACATTTTGGATGTCTTTAAGTATAACTAAAGCTTTAAATGTGTTTTGGCTGGCAACCGTCCCTCCAGAAAGGAACAAGATGTCTTTACTATTAGCTTCAGTTTTTAATCTTTGCTGATGCCAGCAGCTCTCCTCTGTTGCTGTTTTCTAGAAATAGCTCCCTAGTTTATGGACTGTGACCAAAGGTATCTAGTGCCACCCTGTGGACTCACTAAATCTTACAGTTAGCAGTTTGAATGTGGCTGGTACACTACCTTTGAAGCAGGATCTGTGGCTAAAAACCACCTAGTGGAGGAAAGGCGTTTTCATTCTAAAGCAGGAGCAGACATTGCATCTTTAGGAGGTATCACAGAGCTTATTCCTTTACAGTTCCAGCTACTGAAGTATGCAGAGGAAGCAAAATGGTGGGCTGGGAATCAGGATGCATATGTATGTATATGTGAATTTTATGCATGCGTGTGTAGGATTTTTTGTGATGTTTTAGAAATAATCTATTTTGCTTTAAAAAAAGATCCATTACCCATACATGTCTGGGTATGTGAACAACAAAAAACAGAAACTAAAATAAAATATTGTTCAAGGAAATCCCCAAACTGAAAGGGAAGGACTTGAAAAATCTTTCATCATAGAAGATTGTTGAACATTTTGAAAATTATACACAGGGGCAGTTGTTATCAGACATGTAACATGTTGATAATATAAAAAGTAAACTACAAAATACTAAAGTTTTCTCAAACATCACTTATTTGGAGGAAGAACATCATGACTTCTGCTTCAATAAGCTGGATGCATAGAAGGAGACATTTTAAAGTCTTTTATTAAATATTTTAAACACTTAAAAAAGGTATATACTAGCATAACTGGTCCCAGTTCTGTCACCAGTATGCTCTTGAGCATGTCACTTAATCGTCTGAAATTTGGTTACTTAGAATTGGGGTATTATTAGGTGTGAATTACAGTTCCTTTTTTTATCCCTCTCAGTAGTGTGGATAATTTAGAGAATGGAGCTCTTAAAAAAATTAGTTGAGTCTGTTTCTGTTCTGCTTGTTTGTTTATTTTGATTTTTAGATTCAACTGTTGGTAGATATGTATTTATTGTTCATATTTGAAATCTTCCTCTTAAAGACGACCCTTCAACATTTCATGTAATACTGGTTGGGTGGTGGTGAACTCCTTTAGCTTTTTCTTGTCTGAGAAGCTCTTTATCTGACCTTCAATTCTAAATGGTAGTTTAGCTGGGTAGAGTAATTTTGGTTGTAGGTCCTTGCTTTTCATCACTTTGAATATTTCTTGCCAATCCCTTCTAACCTGCAAAGTTTCTGTTGGGAAATCAGTTGACAGTCTCATGAAAGCTCCCTTGTGGGTACTAACTGCTTTTTTTTTGCTGCTTTTAGGATATAGAGTGAGAGCTGGGGGTACAGCTTCCTCCCATACAGAAGTGTTGGCAGAGGCTATTGTTCCTTTGATGAGCCCTTCGCCTACAGAACCAGCGGGCAGGTGCCCTATCTGAGACTCCATCAACCTGGCTCTCACTGTTTGCCCTGCCCTGGTGATTCTCTGAGAGGCCCTGCCCCACTCAAATTTCAGGCCCACCCAAGCTGTTTCCAGTGGCTTTTCCATATAAATGGCCTATATTTGCCCATGCTTCGGATTTTCTTAAACAAGCAGCATCTGGTCTCAGTGTTCCTTATACCTCTTCTAAGTGGCCCCAGACCTGGCACTAGCAGCCATCTGCAGATTGCTTTGTAGTTTATGCCTGGTGACCCTGGATAGAAAGAACACAGGTTGTGGCTGACCTTGAGCTGCACCTCCTCAGAGGCCCCAGAGCCAGGGCACCCAGTAGACAGCGTCAGATCATATCAGAGTATCATCACACAACCATCTCCACAAATGACACAATCAAGGGGCAGACTCAGGGGGCACCAGAGCCCCACTCTGTAGGGTGGGCCCCTACACAGCTGATCCTCCATGGTGGTCAGAGGTTGGTGGTCCATTGTCTCAGTAAGTCATTGCAACTGATTGGCCTGGGGATAAATCCCTCACATTGACATGCTAACAGCAATCAAGGCTCAACTACAACAGGAGGATGTACACAGCCCATACAGGGGGGAGGCTCACCTGGAATACCTAGCATTGGTGATTGGGGAGGCTGTGCCACTGGACCCTACAGGATACCTACTACATTAGGCCATTCTACCAAGCCAGGGAGATGTAGCAGCTCTCCCTAATACATAGAGACAAACACAGGGAGGCTGCAAAAATGAGGAGACAAAAAAACCCAAACATGTACCAAATGAAAGAACAGAACAAAACTCCAGAGAAAGAACTAAACAAAATGAAGACAAGCATTCTACTAGATATAGAGTTCAAAACACTGGTTATAAGGATGCTCAATGAAGTCAGTGAGAACTTCCAACAGCATAAAAAAAGAACTTGGAAACCATAAAAATGAACCAGTCGGAAATGAAGTATACAGTAACTGAAATGAAAAGTAATTTACAGGGAATCAACAGAATAGATGAAGCTGAGAATCATATCAGTGATTTGGAATATAAGGAAGCAAAAACCACCCAATCAGAACAGGGAAAAAAATAAAAAATAAAAAATAAAAAAAATAGTGTAAGGAGCCTCTGGGACAACCTCAAGTGCACCAACATTCACATCATGGGGATACTGGAAAGAGAAGAAGGAGAGCAAGAAATTAAAAAGTTATTTGAAAACTTCTCTAACCTAGTGAAGGAAATATACATACAAGTCCAGGAAGCACAGAGAGTCCCAAACAAGATGAACCCAAAGAAGCCCACAACAAGACACACCATAATTAAAATGCAAAAGATTAAAAACAAAGAGGAAATCATAAAAGCAGCAAGAGAAAAGCAGTTAGTTACCCACAAGAAACTCCCATAGGAATGTCAGCTGATTTCTCAACAGGAACTTTGCAGGACAGAAGGGATTGGCAAGAAATATTCAAAGTGATAAAAAGCAAGGACCTACAACCAAGATCACTCTGCACAGCAAAGCTATCACTTAGAGTCGAAGGATAGAAAAAGAGCTTCCCAGACAAGAAAAAGCTGAAAGAGTTCGTCACCACCAAACCAGTATTATATAAAATGTTAAAAGGTCTTTTTAAGAAGGGGAAGAAAAAAAAGATTAAAAATGTGAACAATAAAATGGCAATAAATAAATATCTATCAACAGTTGAATCTGAAAATCAAAATAAACAAGCAGAACAGAAACAGACTCGTAGGTACAGAGAACATTTTTATGGTTGCCAGATGGGAGGGGTGTTAGGCAAATGGGTGAAAAAGGTGAAGGGATTAAGAAGTACAAATTGGTTGTTACGGAGTAGTCATGGGGATGTATAAAGTACAGCAGAGGGAATATAGTCAATTAACTGTGTATGATGTCAGATGGGTGTGAGATTTATTGGGATGATCATTTAGTAAATTATGCGATGTCTAATCACTAGGCTGTATATCTGAAACTATTATAATATTGTATGTCAACTGTAATTGAAAAATAAAACTGATTTAAAAAAATGTGATGCAGGATGGTGACGTTCCTGCTCTGTGTTCAGCTCACCCAACAGGGCGTGGCCTGTGAGTGCAGAAAGCTGCTGCTCCCTGAAGGAGAACTCAGGACTTCATGCGTCTAGTGATGTGTCCTT